CTCTCCTACCAGGCGTTGTGGGACACGTAGGGCTCGAAGTCGTATTGGGTGTCGGGTTCGTCTCCGCGCTGCAGCTGCCTGACGTGCGAGGCGTACTGCTGCCCGGGGTCGTACAGCTTGCTGCTCTCGCACAGCGTCTGGAAGTTGACGGGCAGCGGAGCCGTCTGCATGTGCATGATCTGGTAGAAGGAGATTGTGGCCTAAAAATAACAGAGAGAACATCAGGTGTGAGCTTTGGGAGCTGACATACACGGGAGAGAGAGACAAGGAGCTCCAGATGAGATGAGACATCAGGAGTACGGAGTGGTGCTTGGTCTGCAGCCTTCAGCCTTGGCTTTTCAGAGCACAGGGAAGCAGAGGAGCTCTCCATCCACCTGGACCTCTTTGAGACAGGGGCAACAAAGCCAGGTCTGCTGGGCTGGCAGCTCCGACCCTCTCCTGAGCAGGGTACAGCCACCCCCTTGCCCTGGGACCAGCCCAAGCAAATCCCACTCACCGTTTTGATGACCTGGTCGCTCTGTTTGATCACTTCGTGGATCTGGCGCAAGGAGTTCACCTTGGTGTCCTCCAGCTCCTGCTTCTGGGTATTTGCATCCGCAACACAGGTCCGATACGTGGCCATCGCCTCTTCTGCCTGAGAGGTGGGAGAGCAAGAGATGGAAAGAGTTCACAGGTAAGGAAATGAGGAGAACAGCTCTGCCCTTGGACCCCGTTCCTCCAGGCATCCCTGCGCCGAGGCTGAGGATCCACGGGGAGCTCAGTTCAGTCCAGTTAGCTCAGGGCTGCCTCTGAACTGGGACAATACGGGGTGAGAAGGTTCTTGCCAGGCAGATGCTCAGCCCAAACCCAGAGCTGTCGTGTCCTTACCTTGTTCTTGGCTTCCTCTTCCAGCCGCCTCTTCTTGTCCAGGGTTTTGGTGGTGATGCTGCTGGTCGTGTTCTGCTGCTCTTCTTCTGCTTTCACCGCCATGTACTTGGCCTTGTCGTGCTCCTCGCTGCGCTGCATGTATATCTGCTTGGCCTTGCGCAGGTTGACCTCTGCCTCTTGCTGCCAATGAGAACAGTGACCCAGGGTAAGGCTGGAGTCTTTGTGGGTATCGTTATCATAGAATCATTTGATTGGAAAAGACCTTTGAGATCATCGAGTCCAACTGTACCTGTCGACTACTAAACCAGATCTCTGAGCACCTCATCTACCTGGCTTTTAAATCCCTCCAGGTTTGGGGACTCCACCACCTCCCCAGGCAGCCCGCTCCAGTGCCTGAGAACCTTTTCAGTGAAGACATTTTTTCTGATATCCCACCTGAACCTCCCTTGGAGCAACTTGAGGCCATTTCCTCTTGTTCTATCACTAGTTATTATCTCCCATCACCTCCCCAGGGCCCTTTCCCAGCTCCTGTACCCCATGTTTCCCCGGTGTCCCCCAGCACAGCTGAGGCACCCCAGGACACAGCACCCAACGCTACTGGAGAGGGACACGAGTCCCGGGGTACGTGGGCTCAGGGAAGGCAAACCCAGCCTGTGCTGTGTGTCTGTCACTCACCAGTTTCCTCTGTGCCCGGTGCCACTGCTCCTTGATCTCCTTCCTCCGCTTTTCATGTTCCAGGCGCCTCATCGTTAGCGGCTGGATTGGGAGAGAGAAACAGCCCCAGGGTGGTCTGAGCAGACCCTCGCTGCTCTCCCCTTGGCAAAAGGCTTTGCAAGGAGAAGATCCCTGCAGGGTTGTTATCATTCCCCAGCACATCTGGGCTCGGTTACAGGGAGGGTTTGTGTCAGCGACAAACATCTGCAGCCTGGGAAGTGCCAGATGGACTTTCCCTCCTGGCTGAGCTACGCAAGAGCCGCGCTCCGCAGGGACAGGACACCCGTGTCCTCGGAGATGGGTGCAGCGTGGTCTGGGCTGGTGGG